AGGAGGTATAGGAGATATAGGAGATATAGGAGATATAGGAGATATAGAAGATATAGGGTGTTCCATAAGTCGCCCGACACTCTTGTATTGCGAATAACTTTTGATAGGAACAAGATATAAACCTGCGGTTTTCACCATTCGAAACAGCGGTGTTTGGGCCATCGATCTATATAATATTTACAACGACGAGAGATACTTTTTCATAGGAGCTTTTCAATTGAGTATCTTTTTTTTGTGCAGTTTCATAAATTTTCACATTACTAACAATTTTACCTAGTACAAACTTCTTTAATTCCACAATACCGGCAACTAATATAGCTTGTAATAACTTTCAAAAGCATCCATTCAAAAGTATCCTTATTTTGCCGTCATTCACCTAATTCCTCAGAATTTATTTTCAATAGATTCGAATGACTTTTGCCAATCGATACTGGATCTTCATCTTTATAATAATAATGAATAATTCAAATTACACAGAGCAACGAAATTTGGAAAAGATAATCCTTTACTAAGAACATTCGATTTTCCTTTCAATAGACAAAATGAACAACATGATGATATGCTAATAAATAATAATATCAATTACGATTCTATTCTTAATCATGCATTAATATCTTACACATTAAATAATATAAATCTTTCAATCTTTTCCCATAATGCGAATAAATGGTCATTGAGTGAACAATATAAAAATGATACCATTGACTTAACTACCAGGAAATATTTTACACGTTCAACTATTTCAACAACATCCGCAACCGAGACTAATGGCGTACAAGGAAAATACATGTCACACTGGAAACTTCAATTCACTTATTGGAAATTTGCTTCAACTATTCAACTACTTGCGCAGAAAGGAGTTGGGGCGGGAGATGACATATCTTTAGACACACACATCACACTAGCAGGTGTGCGTGCGGCGAAAGGAGTAAGGAGGCGGGGGAGGGGGGGAGGGGCTGCCTACATACCTACACACACATATCATCACAGCTGGTGCGGGTGCCGCGAAAGGAGTTCCATCACTGACGACTCACACACATCTATACACACACATCCATACGCACACACATCCATACACACACAGATCATCGCAGCTGGTGCGGGTGCCGCGAAAGGAGTTCCATCGCTGACGACTCACACACATCTATACACACACATCCATACGCACACACATCCATACACACACAGATCATCGCAGCTAGTGCGGGTGCCGCGAAAGGAGTTCCATCACTGACGACTCACACACATCCATACACACACACATCATCGCAGCTGGTGCGGGTGCC